GTATACAATACACATACACAAACAACAAACAGATTTATTCCATATGTGTTTATTGCCTCTTACACACACACACACATAGGGGGGGGGTTAATCAAATGAGAATTGTTTAGTTTGTGGTAATCGTGAGATCCAACATGAACCAATCATTTAGGATAATTATTATGATTTCTTAAAATAAGTAAAAGCATAAATTAGTAAATTGTGTTGAGTATTCAATTTATTTTAATTAGTTTAATATTCTATATTTGAATTTAAGTAGTTGTCTCTCTCTATTTCATAAACAAATCGACGACTTTATTCCTTCTCCCTCAATACCTCCATTTTCTCCGATCTCGACCTCCATTTTGTATAGGCCCTTCCTTCTCTCTCAACTCCAGCCATCACAACGTCCCCTCACTGTTCATCATATGTCCTTCCTAAAGCATCGATTCCCATAAAACTCGATCAACCATGACTTTTCGTTAAACCCAAATCTGAATCGTACCTAAATTAGAAAATCCAGATCTGGGAAATTTACATGGTGGCGATGAAAACATCCAGATATCAGATCAAGACTTTCAATGAATCCAGATCTATTTCACCGGCTGATGTTCACCATTCTCGCCGGCCATTGGCCAAGAAGGAGTCGACATCAGATCAAGACCTTCAACGAATCCAGATCTCCATCTCAATCAAAATCAGATAAAACATCCAAATATAGAAGGTCTGATCTCTCCATCTCATTCGAAATCGGATCTGAAAACATCTAGATATCAAAGATCTGTATCAAATAAAATTTTCGAAAAATCCAGATCTGAAAAATCAAAAAATCCTAGTACTACATCAAAGAAATTTTCCGATATCGAAAGCCTAAATCGTTTCTTCCTGGTAAAATCATTGGCTAAAAATCAAAGGTTTTATGTGTTAAGGTTTGGTACCACAGTTAGTATCATAATGGTACCACAGTTGGTACTATATTGGGTATCACAATGCATCTTGTATGTATTTTTGGGTATCATAACGTGGATCATTTGTATGTATTTTTTTATAGTCTCCAAGTTTACTTGGTAAATTCTAGGTATCAGGTTGTATTTATTTTAGGTATCACATTATGTATCTTGTCTTTACTAGGTGTTAGAAGAAGGCTTACCGCAGGCTGAAGGTAGGAGATATATATATATATATATATATATATATATAATATTTTTAAAATACCTAAAATGTCATTTAATTAAAATTTTAAGCCAAATTACCAAAATTATTAGTTTTCTAATTTAACCATTGATTTGTGGTTGAGATTGGATCTCACAATTATCACAAAACTAACCAGTTCTCTCTCTCTCTCTCTCTCTCTCTCTCTCTATATATATATATATATATATATATATATATATATATATATATATATATATAGACAGAGAGAGAGGGAGAGGACTGATCAAAGATCAAATACAACTCTTCCTATTCTTACAACCCATACAACGTCATCTAAAAACGCCCATTTTTTATTTTCTTTTAGTTAAGGGTAGTTTTCAACTGATCAAATGGTAATTGTTAACAAAATTAATAGATGGTTAAAATGTGGTTGTATTTGGTTGTAACAATTAGAGGGGTTGCATAATAAACCACCTATATATATATATATATATATATATATAGGGGCAGGTTCAAATGAAAACCATGTCATTCTAAAAAACCGTGTAAACCAAAATCGACCAATAGAAAAATTCCATTCTTTTTTAATTAAATTTAATCAATAAGGGTATTTCGGTCATTTTCATTATTTTTTTGATAAATAAGGAAGTTATTAAGAAATATTAAATAAGGAAATTTATTAATGGTAATTATATGAATGGAAAGATTTAAATATTTTAATATATTATAATATTAAAAATTGATTTTTTTTGTTATTCAATGAATTTGGAAAGTTTTGTTAAGATTATAGCTTGTTATGTAATGGATTCTTGATTTAAGGTTGATATAATGAAACCGGTGCATAATATTATAATAATGTTCATATGAAAAGGTTTCATAATAATGAAACGGGTGCATAATATATTAGTATGCATAATGAAAAGGTTTCATTATAATGAAACGGATGCATAATATATTAGTATGCATAATGAAAAGGTTTCATTATAATGAAACGGATGCATAATATATTTTATTATTTATGCAATTAATGTTCATATGAGAAGGTTTCATTATAAAATAGTTTATTTGCTTATTTTATTAATATTGTACATGTTCATGCACTCGTTTCATGATGATGAAACATATTCATATGAATGAAAATATTTAAAGATTTTAATATATTATAATATTAAAAATTGATTTTTTTTGTTATTAAATGAATCTGGAAAGGAGTTACAAAATGTTAACTGTGTTTACCAATTTTGCCCTTAGTATTGAAATAAAATAAATATTTATTATTTTTTAATTTTTAATTTCCTAAAATAAAGTAAACTAATCTTAGTCATTGATCAAGAAAATGGATGGATTATATTGGTTTACACGGTTTACACAAATGGGGCAAGTTTTTATTTGAACGCTCCTCTATATATATATATATATATGGGCCTATTCAAGGAAGAACTGACTAGTTTGTGGTAACCGTGAGATCCAATCTCAACTACAAATCAATAGATAAATTAGGAATTTATAATTTTGGTAATTTTGAATTAAAATTTTAATGAAATGATATTTTATGTATTTTCTCTCCTCTCTCCTCTCTTCTCTCTCCGTCCTTCGTCCTCCGGTTACCATTCTCCGGTGATACCTAAAGATATTGACTCTATTAAACAAAAGATACAGTGTGATACCCGAGAATATATATAAGATGCATTGCGATACCATTGTGTTACAACTCCGATCGACCACACAAACGACCTCAGTTTGATACTCAAACACATATATGATGTATTGTGATACAATTGTGGTATCATCGGAGAACGGTGACCGGAGGACGGTGGCTGGGGGACGAAGAGAGAAGAGAGGAGAGATGAGAGTTTTAAAATACCTAAAATGTCTTTGCATTAAAATTTTAATTCAAAATTACCAAAATTATAAATTTCCTAATTTATATATTGATTTGTGGTTGAGATTGGACCTCATAGTTATCACAAACTAATTAGTTCTCATTTGATTAGGCCCCTATATATATAATTCGTTTCAAATTAAATGAACGGTTGAGATTGAATTGTATTGGTTGTACAAATGTAAAGGGTTGTATAATAACTCACATCTCTCTCTCTCTCGAGAGAGAGAGAGAGAGAGAGAGAGAGAGAGAGAGAGATGTAGGTTCATACGACAATGATACATATTTAAGAAAATAAAATAATGGTCAAATTACATGTAAAATCACATATGATTTTATATTAACAACCAAAAAAGTGTGCAAGCGACCCTATGGCCATGTAACAAGGTCGCATGGTAAAGTTAAAATAAAAAAATATATATATATATATATAATGGTTATTTACATTATATCTGGGATAAATGAGACAATATGAAAGTTAGATTTGCTCCTTTAACATCTCTATAACCGGGTGTTCTATTTAATATTTTTTTTTTTGCATACATTAATGTTTACTATTTAGTTTAAAACACTACATTTAACAAAATATTCTACTTTATAGTCTAGTAGAAACAATGTAACAAATGATTGATAACATTTTATGATCAATAATACAAAACAAAACATGAACTTAATTAATAGTAGCGATTTATATGACTAGTAAATATAACATTACTTCTTCTCACCACAAGCGTTGTATTTGATTGGTTTTAACTTGGCTCCAAAAGTCAAACATGGAGGTCACATGTTCAAATCCAAGAAAGAACAAAAATCCTTTGTGGCCACGTAGGTTCAAATGCGGTAACTCCGAACTATCTGCAAAGCAGGTGGTCATACTGAGATTAGTCAGCTCGCATAACGGATTGGATATACAGGTTAATAAAAAAAGAACTTCTTCTGATGTATAAGAAAATCACTTATATATTGTATTCTAATGTGCACGATATACCATGTTTGTATTTGAGTGGGTCATCGAAAGACTATTGGAATGTTCAAGGACTAAAAATGTAATTATCCTAAAGTTCAGGATTCGGTATAAAACAATAAAAAGAAATGGAGATGCGGGGTATCGATCCCCGTACCTCTCGCATGCTAAGCGAGCGCTCTACCATCTGAGCTACATCCCCTTGATGCTAACGTTTTAATACCATTTGTATATGTTTTAAACTAGAGTTTGTATTGTTTTATTATTGCTTAATACTTTTAATTGGATTAACTGTCACGAAAGTAGTCGATTCATGCGCATAGTTAAAAAAGACTAAGGGGCCGTTTACCTAAACACTTACTTGGTAAGTGCTTATCGGTAAAATTCAACATTATCGTTTACTTGTCGGGTAAGATTTTAATCCACCAAAATGACATCGTATGTAACAAATTACCCGATTAGTACTAATCAGGTAAGAGTGTCGCCATCATTTACCGGGTAAGACTCTCAGTCCTTGCCTTCATTCTTACCAAGTAAGATTCTTGGTATTTGTCATATTCATCCAGAAAGGTACTGTGATTTGGTAAGCACTTACCCAATTAAGTATTTAGTAAACAGCCCCTAATTCAACTTGAAATATGGTTATAATTGTTAATGTTTAGCAAATTTCATCTTAGTAATAAATATGAAATCAACATTAAGCATAATTCTATAGGTAGCATAGTTACGTTATTGAATTTGTATATTTCGTTATTTGTATATTTTATGGTCTATTAAAATATTCAAAAGTTCTCAATTGCTTGCGTAGCAAATTGTTCATAATTATTTGGAATCAACTTATAATCAATAATCATCAATCTAAATGTGTTACAATAGGTTTTTAGGATGCTTTTATGTGTTTTAACAAGTTTTTTTTGAACATTTTCTAAAATAAAGTGTCGTATTAACTCTTTTATACGACATTAATTTAAAAAAATTCTATAAACACAAATAGCCTATAAAAAGATAGGTTTGTCCTATAAAATAGCCAATAGAACGCTTTATTTTAAAATTGTTTTAAGAAATTTGTTAAAAACATCTAAAAGCTCTTATAAACATATTAAAATGCTTTTAAATAGGACATTATATAATTTGGTATTATAAACCTAAATTCTATAATGTATTCTAATAGGACGCTTAGACAATCTAAGTGTCCTATATAGACATAGAGACTTTAATATCTCCAAATTCAGTCTAGAAAACCACATTTACAGGTCATTTACCAAATGCTTACTTGGGTAAGCGTTTACCAAGTTATATTACCTTACCGGATGAATATGGTAAGAACCAAAAATCTTACCAGGTAAAAACGAGGCAAGGACCGAGAGTCTTACTCGGTAAGTGAGGACAATGACTCTTAACACGGTCAGCTCTTACCGGGTAAATTGTTGCATATAAAGTCGTTTTTGTTGACTGAAATCTTATTCGGTAAGTAAATAATAGTATTGAGTTTTACTGATAAGTGCTTACCGGATAAATATTTGGTAAACAGCCCCTTAGCAATACATTTTGCTTTACAATCTAGGTAGGAAAAATATATCGGGTGAGTGTGTGAGTAATAATGATCAATAATACAAAATAAAACTGGACTTGATTAGGTAGTAGCGATTTATGTGTCTAGTAAATATAACATTACTTTTATCCAAGGTTTTAAATGTGGTGAGGTGTGACATGACGGCATGGTTAAGCCTCAAGCCTTACGAGTTATAGTGAGGTCATGACGTTTTTCAAGACGTGCCCTAACACGGAATATGTATACATGATATATACTTGAATGTGTTAATGTTCTAAATACTCTCGTAAATCAATTTAAATTTGTATAAAGTAACAAAATTAGAAATAACTACATCAATTTTAAGTGCGCAAAATTGTGATTAAATCTTTTGCGTCTCTACTCACTAATTTATTCAATCCTCAAAGGATTAGCGTTCGACTCTTGTGTACGGAAATGAAAATAAATATATACCTATTTATGGTTCTTAGTTTTTATGTTTTATCTGATGTTGATTTAAATCTTAGAGTAGTACATGATTATCATCCATCTCACTAAGTTTTATGTTTAAGAAAACAATGCGTCTTAACGTAACATGTCATAACGTGTTACAATGGAAGTCAAACCTTATAATGAATCCATGGAGATTAACATGATGGTGATGTCAGCCTCAACGTCATAACAAATTATTTACAACCATCTTATTTCATGTTGGACTGTCATACAATTTCTTTTTATCGATAAACTGTAATTGGAATCATAACTCTTATATGTTCAAATTGTATTAATATGTAAAGACCAAGTGTAACTTATATCATCGTTAAATCTTCTATAATAAAACCAATGAAACTTTAAGATCGTTAAAATTCACAGCTTCCGTCGTATCGCGGGAGTACACAACTAGCATTCTAACATGCACGAGATACCATGTGTTGTGTATTTGTGTGGGTCATACAGAGATTATTGGAATTTTCAAGGACTGAATATGTAATTTTCCTGAAGTTCAAGGTTGGCAAATAAAAAAAATCAATATGATATGGAGATGCGGGGTATCGATCCCCGTACCTCTCGCATGCTAAGCGAGCGCTCTACCATCTGAGCTACATCCCCATCTTGTTAGCCTTTTAAACACCTATATAACATTTTAAAAACCTCATTTGCAAATATTGGGATTTGTTCTGATGTTAAGCATTTCATTTATTAGCTGTTCTATGTTTTAACTGGAGTTCGTCTGGTGTTTGAAATTGCTTATAAAAATAACTTATTGACTTATTACGGTATGACATCGGTAATAACCACTTTTGAATGTTTGAATAAACAACTTCTACCGGTGTAATAAGGAGTTTTTGAAGAAGTTAAACCCTTCTGACTTATAATAAGTTGATAAGTGATTTTGTAGAAAAGTATAAGTTGTTTCAAATAAGTAATCCCAAACACCCCTTTAAACTTTCAATTATTTGTCTTTGACTTTCGGTTTTTCATAGTAATTGGTAGAACTGAGATTGTTTTGTCATTACTTAATGCTTCTAGTTAGGTTAACTGTCACGAAAGTACTCGGTTTACATAGTTAAAAAGACTTAATTCAACTTGAAATATGGTCCGGATAGTTACTGTTTGGAAATTCTCACCTTATTGAATCTGAAATCGGCATCAAGTAGATTTCCTTTAGTTTACGTTCTAGATTACCGTTAGTAAAACAGTATCCTATAAAATAGCTAATCGGATGCTTTGTATTAAAAGTATCCTAAAAAACTTATTAACGTTTTGTAAACTTATTACAACTCCTTTAGATATGATCCTTTATATTTTGGGACGTTTTGTAATTGATGGTTAATTTTGTTGTAGTGTCTTAATTTGCAATTACAAGAAGTAAAACACAACTGATTTGCTACAGTACAAATCTATAACTGCTCACATTTTTACTTCACGTCTTTTAGTTAATCTCACTTTCAAACCATTCTTCATCTGGAGTACTATGGATTCACTTGGAAGCACGAGGTGACCTTCGACAAGATGAACATGGTAGCGGTATATGATCGTAGCTGCCACTATCTTCATCTGAGTGAAACTCATTTGCTTGCCTAAGCAAGTTCTGGGTCCAGCATTAAACGCGGGGAATTTGTAAGATGGTTCATGTTTAATCCTTCCACTCGTCGAAACCCACCTTTCGGGCTTAAATTCCATGCAATCCTCCCCCCATATCGATTTCATCCTTCCCATGCCATAATAAGATAGGATCACTATAGTACTCTCATCAACTTGATGGCCGCTTGGAAGGATATCAGGTTTTAATGGAGTCTTGTGTTGAAATGGAATAGGAGGGAATAGCCTTAGGGCTTCAGATAATGCACCATGAAGATAAACTAGTTTGCACAACTCTACTCCGTATAGATCTTTCAAATTCCCAGCCATATCCATCTCCATCTCCATCTCCAGTTGTGTGTGAAGCTCTTCTCGAATCTTATCTTCGACAATCGGGTTTTTGGCAAGAAGATAAAAGAACCAAGAGAGAGTGCTGCTGGTGGTGTCTCTTCCTGCAACCATCAGATTCAATAACGTATCTCTCAAAAACTTGTTGGCATCCCCAGAAGTCCCACTTTTGTCTTTATACTCTCTCAAGAGAGCCGTTGATAATTTGAATTTTTCCTCTTGAAGTTTATTATTGAGCAATTTACTGAACTCCTTCTGTTTTACAGCTAAGCACTTGTATATAAATTGATCAAGGGTTTTCCAAGCATCATTCAGCTTCTTCCCATTCCCTATTTTAAGTAGTTGTTGCAGTTTCCAAAAGCTTGGGGGCATGATGTACCTATGCAAAATCGCTTCTTCCATCTCCGACAAAGCCTTCTCGCATGGAATATAAGGAAACTCGAGTGACATGCTTTTAGGGTCATCATCGAAGAGCAATTTACATATCGTATCAAAAGCGAACCTCTGAAATATTTCCTGCAAATCCATCTCCAACCCTTGTTTGGAAAAGGAATCAAGTACAGGCAGTAACCCTCTTTCCACCTTGTTCCAAATAGTCTCTTCTAAGAGGGTTTGAAAACAAGGGGACTTTAAGAGAGACAAGATGGTTTTATGGTGGAACTCCCATAAGTCTCCATCAGTATTGGAGAATCCATCTCCAAGGATATCAAATACGTTACGAAATTTTTGGCCTCTCGGATAATTAGTGAAGTTCTTGCTCAAAACGTGATGGATGTCTAAAGGGTTTGTGGTGCAAAGCTTATTCTTGGCGGATAACCAAGAGCCTTTGAACACGAAGGTACCACCACTAGATGCCAGAACATCGGTGGTGTAATCATGGAGTCGGTGGGCGTTTACAAGGGTCGCTGGTATCGTGCCAAGAAACGGCCAATGTTTAGGGATGATGGATTTCTGGTTTCGAGATATGTGCAGAGCGATTAGCACGTAAATGAAAACGAGTAATGGAAAGAGAATTATGAGGAATTCCATGGAAAGAAAGGAGAAAGAGGGGAATTGATGTTTGACATAGTCTCTTCCAAGATTGAATATAAAACGTTTCTGGTGGATTTTAATTATGAAGGTGATGAAAGTTGATTAAAATTAATGTGATCAGCATGCATTAATTGTAGAAATAAAGCTCTCCAGTTAAGCACATTTATGTTGATCTAATATGGGCGCTGGTTTTTTGGGTTTTAGACGATCGATAGAATTGATTAGCCTCCAAAGAAACATTCATTTCAATGTCTATTGATGTATTAATGGCTTTTGTTGTATAAGAAATTGGTTTTTTTAAGGCAATAACATTAAGAAAAACAAAAAGCCTTCACAACAACGAGTAAATCTCTCTTTGGATGAAGATAGTTTGGAGTTTTGAGATGTCATTGGCCGTCTACGTACCATACTTTTGTGACGATGAGTTTTTCTTTGTCACTGCTATTCAAATACAAGCGAATGGTGGCTCACCCTTTTGCTCAACTGTCTCGTTTCCTATCTTGTCTTGTTACATTCTCTAATTTACCGTCTTTTATTTCTCGTTGTATGAACGTTGTTTGCTCTTTGGGAGCTCGTTAATATATTTATGTGATCTATTTATCAAAAAAGAAACGAGGAATCCATGAGGAGAAGATTTCCGAGAGAAAAACACACCGAAAACAAATACAAAGCCAAAAAAGGCTCACGAGACCGGATACAAAAGAGAACTAAACCACATCGTCCATGAAATTGACTGATTCTTGTATCTTGGTGAGATCCAAGTGAAAGACTGAAATTGAATATCACCATCAGCATCGACCCTTTTGAAGATTCGAAAGCATTCCTATATTTCCAAAGAGATTTAACCTGTGGTCCAAATAACAACTTATCAAACTCCCTCATCAGTGCCAAAATCTGTCACCCATCATCATAAAAACGCAAATAAGAGGTTGATGTGGGAGGATCGAAATCAATATTCCACCATTTAAAAATATTGCAGGTACTACAAAATTTAATTTATATACATAGTCATGAACAATAGATACATTATGAATTTCTAAATTTTAAGATAAACTCCTAATTAAATCAACCCTAAATCACGGCGATCTAAATTCATTATGAATATTTAGTTCGTGATGATAATTAATCTTAAGTAAACATGCATCGTCTCAATGTTAATCATAATCATAAAAAATCAAAACCATAACTCAAAAGGTCTAACTTTTTATTGAATGCTAAACCCAAACCTAACCCTAAGCGCAACACTAAACCCTAACCACCTAGACGCTAACCAATCTTTTCACATAAACCAATATTGTTCATCTAATTAACGCAAAACTTAATTTCTAATTAAAGATAGAGCAAAAAGTGCACCAATTTTTTCCAGAAAAATATTCTAAGTACTCGTAAACACTAAACTTAACGTTACTCCTTATATGCAAGCATGATTGAATTTTAGTAATTACCAATACCATTAGTTCAGGTTGATCGATTTAATTTTACCAATCCCTTATCGAAAGCCTAATAAGCTATAAACGCACAACACTACAACCATTACTAGTGACGTTAACTAAACCATAAACCCTAAAATCTAATTCAAATTAACGTGGTTAACCCTAATCAACCATAAATTCAATGGGGAATTGATTCTTTTGTATTGTATGTATTGTAATTCGTAAGCGCGGGAACTTTTTAATTAATCGTATTCAATTTTCAGTTATAATTTCTTTGTAAGTGATTCAACGACTAACAATCTTATCATGGTGCAAAGTTTGATTTAAAGTATTTTTGCTTGAACAAAAATCTTGAATTAATGAATTCGAAAACGTTGTTGTTAAGAAAATCATCTTTAATGGTTCGTTATGTTACATAACATGCATGTTGTTATTTGTTAAAGTCTAGCGTAAATTAATGGTATGTTTAAAATTACTATTTTCGTCCCTGTATATTTGAAATTATGGTTTTCATTCATAAGGTTTACAACTTATTTTTATTTTATGATATATAATTTATTGTTTTTTCGTTCCTATGGTTTGAAATTCGTTTTTGTTTTCGTCCTTCGCACTTAAAGGTAAGAGTTAGCCTCAACCCTCATGAAACAAAAATAACAACGAATTGTAAATCATAAAGACGAAAAAATGTAATTTTAAAACCATATAGCCGAAATTCATAATTTATGACAAACCATGGGGACGAAAAACGTAATCTATTCTACAGTTTATTTTGTAACAATGATATTTGTATGAGTAAATTACAATTCTGGTCCTTATGGTTGTCATTCACTATCGACGATCATCCATATTTCAAAATAATTAAATTTTGGTCATTATGGTTGTCACTTTGTTTCACTTTTGATCTTTCTGACCAATTGTTGTGAAAAAAAACTCCATTAACTCAGGGGCATCTTGGTCTTTTTATAATTTTATTTGATTTTTAGTTAAAAAAATATGAAATAAATAAATAATATATCGAACATATCATGAAGTTGTCCCTTGTACTGTTGTACATGGCTCCTCCTCCCACCGTCGTAGAAGCCGTAGGGGAGTGCGAAGACCACGCCACAACCATCGCTCCTTCGCCCACCGTTCTGGAAGCACCGAGCACTAGCACCACAACCATCGCTCCTCCGGCCACCACCAACAGTCGTTCTCCTTCGACCACCACCAACAGTCGTTCTCCTTCGGCCACCACTACCATCAAGCACTGTTGCCTCCCTTCCCCATTCTCTCTCACTGTCATTTGCCATTACTCTGAACACCCCCACCGTAAAACTCACATCTGCAAACCACCGATATCTGGATCCCAATCCTTGTCTGGTGGTCTCCATCGAGAGTCGGCTTTTTCTTCCAATCAGGATGGTTTTTTGTCTTTTCCCTATTGAACAACTTCAAGCATATTATTCTCTTTTTAATCAAATCTTTAGTTTTCAAGCTTGTGATGGGTTTTTTATGAATCGATTATTGGTGTTTATTTTGTTAACCCCACACCCAATAAATGTTGTCGCAAAATGACGGTTTCCCTATCGAAGTTGTCAAATGGGTTTTTGAACTTTTACGATCTCAGCATTATCTTGTGAGAAAACCCATCTACTTTCCTATCTAGAGTTTGGGTTCTTTCGTCGAAATGCTCTTTGGCAATTGTTGAATGGTTTGGTGTAGAATGATTAATTAAGATACTCTCATGATATAATGCAAAATGAAATATAATTGTTTGATAATTGTGTACAATGAAATTAGAGCTCTTAATGTTTTAGGGAGATCCAGGATACAAAATCGTTTAGAGGGTTTTAGAACCATTAAAAGAGATTTTTTTTTTTGTCAAACAAGATTCACCTCTTAACGATTCAGATGTTGCCCCTTAATGGAACTATTAAGACGAATTTCTTCTGATATCAAAGCCCTTCTTCTGATATTAGGGCTTTGATGTTATATTGTTGTTGATATTTTTCTTCAAGATTCAATCAAAACTGGCCTAGTCACCTTCAAAACCATTCAGGTTTGATAACCTGATGCCTTCTTTCCTATTTTGTTCTTGTTGATCTTTTCGAAAGAGTTAGAATCTGAAATTGTTTCATTTCCTGGGTTTGTTTCAGAGTTTTTGTTCATGTTGATATTTTGGAAAGAGATACAATTCTAACATTAATTATATTAAAAAAATAATCATCCTACGTTTGGTTCGCAATGGAATTGGAGGATTTTTGAATTTCAATTCCGTGTTCGATTTGTAGAATTGTCGCCAAGGATTCCTTTGAGATCAGGTAAATTAACGGTTTTTAGGGTTTAATTCCTTGGATTTGAATGGAAGTATGATCTATAGGAATCGAGAATCTAGCTATTAATCCCACCTATTCACAAGCTTACGCTATAAAATGAACACAAAATCTACGAAATATAGAGTTCCGCCTTGCCATCGATGAAGAGGCTCATGAATTCTTCCCCGTCTACCGTCTCTTTCTCGATAAGGAGTTGAGCGAGCTTGTGTAAGATATCAATATGTGTAGTCATGATCTCTGTTGCTCGTGCATACGCCTTCTCGACTAGCTCCCGCACCTCCGCGTCTACTATATCTGCTGTTGCCATCGAGTAATCTTTCTGGGACGACATCTGCATAATTTCACACCCATACATTTCATCAGTCTACCTTACGAAAAATGTTTTCTTTTATATTTATATACGACAGACTTTTCATCTTTGGTGAAATTTGAACCTCTGATTAGCTAATATTAACGAGTAACATACCTGTTGGCCCAAGAACGGATTTCCGCCACCTCCACCGATAGCAACTTGACCGATTTTCTTGCTGAATCCTAACCGCTCTACCATCTGCCTTGCCACCCGCGAAACTTGCATGAAGTCATTAGACGCGCCTGTCGTAACATTGTTATGTCCAAAAATAACCTCTTCGGCAACCCTTCCACCGAGTGCAACCGCCATTTGGTTTTCAAGATAGCTTCTGCTGTACAAACCAGACTCGAGCCTTTCTTCACTTGGAGCGAAAAAGGTCAGACCACCGGCTTGACCACGAGGAATGATGGATATCTTGGCTACTGGATCGTATTCGGGCATCAGTGCACCAACTAGAGCATGCCCAGCTTCTGCAAATCAAACATTTTCATAGCATCATGCTCAAGAAAACACCAGAAAACGACCAGAAAAACAGGATCTAACCGTGATAGGCAACGAGCCTCTTCTTTTCTTCCGAGACAACAGCGTTTTTCTTCTCTGGCCCAGCAATGATCCGTTCTAATGCGTCTGCTATTTCATCTTTGCTTATTTCCTTTAGTTCACGCCGAGCTGCAAGAATGGCTGCTTCATTCATCAGATTTTGCAAATCAGCACCAGTGAATCCCGGGGTTCGCCTTGCGATTTTATCAAAATCTACGTCTTTTGCAAGTGCCTTTCCCCTCGAATGCACCTATCACACAAGATAACGTTATACTTCAATTGGCTATTTTAGAGAGTAACCTAACAGGTTCCGCTCTAGGGAAATCTATACCCGTCTATTCCAGATATAATACAGCAGCAAAATTCTTGGGACAACAGATGAGCAATAATACCTGTAGGATCTTGACTCGGCCAGCAACATCAGGGCGATCAACTGTAACCTGTCGATCGAACCTCCCTGGCCTTAACAACGCCGAATCAAGAACATCTGGCCGGTTCGTGGCTGCCAAAACTATAACACCCGAATTGCCCGAAAACCCATCCATCTCGGTCAACAGTTGATTGATAGTTTGTTCTCTTTCATCATTTCCACCACCAAGACCTGCACCTCTTTGCCTCCCAACTGCATCTATCTCATCTATAAACACAATGCAAGGTGCTTTGGATTTGGCCTTCTCAAACAAATCTCTAACACGAGAAGCACCAACACCCACAAACAATTCAACGAATTCAGAGGCGGCACATGAGAAAAACGGCACACCGGCTTCTCCGGCCACTGCTCGAGCTAAAAGGGTCTTTCCGGTTCCTGGTGGTCCGACCAAGAGACATCCTTTGGGGATTTTAGCTCCAAGAGCTGTATACTTATCTGGGTTTTTCAAGAAATCAACAACTTCTTGTAATTCTAACTTGGCTTGATCAGCTCCGGCTACGTCTGCAAACGAGACGCCGGTTTCAGGAACTTCCTGAAACTTGGATTTCGACCTGCCAAAATCCATTGGTCCACCGAGCCCTCCCGGCCCTCCAGGGCCACCTTGGGATCGGCGGAACAAGAAAAACAAACCGCCAAAAGCTAACAGTGGAAACAACAAGTTACCAATGAACCCAAACAAGCCATTACTAGCTTCCCCTTCTGACACAGATATGTCAACACCGTTCATTGCCAAGATGTCGATAAGATCAGGGTCGTTGGGAACAATCACGGTGGCTTTATGGCCGTCCACGGCGGCGAGCTGCAAGACACCACCATCTTTGCTAAACCTAACCCTTTCAACTTTCCCTTTCTTGACTGCGTTCAAGAACTCACTGTATCTCCATTGACTGCCCTCAGGCAAATCAGAGCTCGCCTGGGGTTTTGGAGCAGTTAAGACATTCTGTTGGGAGAAAAGCGAAGAACTTTTTAATGGGTTTTGTTCGATCAGTTCAGCTTGAAGTGGGTTTTGCGGTGGTGACGACGGTGGTGGATTGGTGTCTAAAGCTAGTGCCGGTGGTGTTGCGATTGAAGAAAAAAGCAAAGCAGCTAAAGTAGCTTTCGATTGAAAAATCAGATGTTTTGAAGAATTCGATTTGTTGTTTAATATTGATTTTGGGATCACAAATCGATTCCTTGGAGATTTGCGGGTTTTGGGGGCTGAGGATGAGAGCAAGAAATTTGAAGATAGAAGGATAGTGTTGGTGGTGGACGCCATTGATGAAAATTTTGAGGTTTTTTCCTTAAAAGAATTGGCTTGTTATTTTGATTTAGAAGTAGCAAGCAAAGCCATAGATTTCGAGTGTTCAATTGGATTGGACATCATCTACGTGTTCTTATTTATCACCCTATCTAACCCATATCATCATTCTCAATGACGTATTCAATCATATGGTTTACCAGAAAAACTTGCAATTTCTTTGATCTCGACCTTCTTTCTTCCAAAAGCTTGTAATTTTGAATTGGTTATATGATAAAAACATATAGTGGTAATTACATATTTCTTACTACAATAAATGGTAAATTTAATAAATATTTTACAACGGTTGTTGTTGTTGACGAGTAAAAAAGTAAAATAATAAATTTATTAAGAGTCTTCTATATCACTTTTCATTATTAAGGCTATAAACAAACCGAACATTCAGCGAACCGTTTAGCGGAGAGTTTATTATCACAGTTAACAATTCGAGTCAAGCAAGATGATCGAATCTAATATTACATTAAACGATAAGAGATGTGATCGAAAATCATGGAATGTTTACAATTAGTTAAAACAATATTAAAATTATAGAGAATACATAATAACATCACTGTTCTTGATGATTTATTTTTATTTATTAGAATTTAAGTATAAGTTGATAAAGTTTGAGGCTCACAACTGTTCTCATGTTTTCACAAAACAGAAGGGTTCTCGTTTGAACTCCCACCTACAAAATGAAAATATGGAGAAAAAGAGAAAGTCGTTAAATAATTTAATTGAATACAAAATGAGAATATCAAATTAATAAATTTATCTTGTTACTTTATTTTAAAAAATAACATTAATTATTTTAAATGATTGGCTCACACCGGATTTTCATTTGATTTTAGACCCCTGGATAATTAAGCTACATGTTTTAAATATATCTTTGATGATTGTTTTCCAAAACGCATATATTAGTTTAAATTATAATTGTGGGTGTTCGGGCAAATCTTGAGGGACTTGAACCAGTGACTAGTAGGAAGCAAACTCAGGTTCTAACAAGTTAAGTTGCACCAAGGACTAACTCATATATTAGTTGTAACTAGAAGGATACTCGCACATTTCTATTTTAATATTTTGTTTTATTCTTTGTCTCTGTCGATATAATACGGTTTTTACATGGTTTTGAGAAAACAATAATGTTTTTATTTTTGAATAAAATATTAATTTGAAGATATCATAAAACTTTGAAAAAATATATCGATATTAGTAATCAATTAACTATTTAAAAATTCTCGTTTTTTGCATAAATTTTTTAATTCAGTTTTTTATTATAATTTAATTTATGTTTAATAATGAAATAATTTATTTTTGATTTAATAATATAATTCTTTATAAAGATAATAATTAAATATTTTGTTAGAAGTCAAAGTCAATGATTATCCTAATTACATTTTTAGAGTTTTTATATTTAAAATAAGATGTTTATCTTGTATTTGATTATGTTTATCTACAGTTAGTTACATTTTTTTTAAAAATGAAGTTCTAATAAGAATTTTTGTCAAATACTTTATAATATAGTATAAATTGTGTTGTTTTCCACGTGAAAAATTAACAAGATTATACATGTTTTATGAACATCCTTCTTGGAGTTTAACAGGGTATTTGGGTTGAAGTCGAATATGGGCAAGAACACCTCTTATTTTTGTAATGTGTCGAGGTGAGAACGGAGGAAATTTAAATAATTCATTTTAAGCTTGGGCAACTTCTTGTGAGTAGGGGTGTAAATGATACGAGACAACTCGCGAGCTACCCAAGATCAACTCGGTCAAAGCTAGACTCGAATAGGCTCGGCTTGAACTCGAGCTCGACTCGACATATTAATGAGTCGAGTCAAGCTACCCAATATTCGACTCGAAAAGTTCGTGAGATACTCGATTATTTTATATATTGGTTTTAAAATATAATCAGTTTTTATGATAAAATTTGTAAAATATAAAGAACAAAAATGTCTTATATTTTTAGATATTTAAACAAAATTAGACATTTTTTAATTATAAAATTAATGAATTATTTTTTATTAAAATCACAATTAAAAAAAGACAGAAAAACTATAAAAAGGGTTGGTGAGATTGTCCCGCATAGGAAGAGATATGGTAAAGGAAAGAAGAAAAAATGTTATAAAAAGATAGGGAGGTGAACGGAATTTCTATCTTTGTCTATTTGATGATAAAGTTTGAAATTGATCTTTTTAGTTTTATAAAAACTAAGAGAACACTTTTACGTTTTAAAATTTTATAAGAAAAAAACACTAAAATATTCTCAATTTCAATGGTGAGCTTAGTTCGAGCTTGATTCGAGTTCGAGTTTAAGCTTGATTTGAGTTGTAGTTCGAGCTTGTTTCGAGTTTAGTTCGAGCTTGAGAAATAGTTATCGAGTTCGAGTCGAGCTTTGATTTTTACTACTTGCAAGTTTTTGAGTCGAGTTCGAGCTTGGAAATTGGGTTTCGAGTTCGAGTCGAGTATAATGATACCCGAGCTCGACTCGCATCATTTACACCCCTACTTGTGAGGTATTCATGTTTTCCCTCGATAGCCACACGACTATATCATAGGGATTGTTGACATTTATTGATAAAGACTAGAAAGGGTTGAAGGTTTGGAAAAATGGAAACTTGTCTTTTGCTAAGAAGCTTTAGCTGATTTAGTTTGTGGTTTCTTTTATTTAGGTATACTAGTCTTATTGTTTCAATACCTATTTCGGTGATAAAAGAGACGGGGAAGATTTTGAGGGGATTTCTATGGTACAATAAGATGCTCATTGAATGAACGACAAAGATGGCTTATAAGAGAGGTCTCCCTATTGAGACTGGTCGGGAAATGGAGGAAGGTCAAACTAGCTCTAGAGCTAATACATGCCTTTACGTCCCTAAAACCACTGATGATGAATCACCACACTCACCGTCTTCTCGCTCTCGTACGCTGCAAAGGAGTTCAGACGTTTGTTATCGAATGCCCACTGATCTGATTAAGAGGTGTTAAGGGTTTTTTTCCACTTAAAATTCCAGATGAGTTTCATAGTTTTTAAGCTCTTATTTTGATAAAAAGACTAAACACTCTAAAAAAGAAAATGTTTGACCGAGCCAGAATTCAGAGGACATTAAGTGCAAATTTTAAAAAACAAACACGGCCTTACTCTCCATGAGAGCCAGGTAAGTCTCGTATGATAGCCTTATAGGATATAGTTACCTTCTTAGTCTGGGTTAGGGTTCCAAACATGCCCAATTCCCCGCCAAAACGACTCTAAAACAAACAAAAAGATGTGTGCCACATTCACGAAGGACAATGCTGGAGGAAAGTGGATATGACCTTCAAGTCCGCATGTCCTTTATGGGAAGGGCCACACACATACTACAACGGCAATTCCCGTGAAGCGAGGATGATTCGACCAGCGAATAAAGTGGGTTAACTTTTGATCTTGGCCAAACACTTTTTCTCGTTGGTTTAGCTTTCGACAAAAGAAGTGTCTTTGAGAAATAAACATGATGGTTTGAGGATCAAATCTTTAATTTTGGTCAAGCATGTATGGAACATCATTGGATGAAATTGGTATGGTTCTCATTCTCACAATGTGTTCCAAAACCATTTCTTTCATCCTGTGGTTGGTTTATGGTTTGTGCAACACTAGAAAGGTTTTGGGTTAAAATGATGAATATTGCTAAATTGGAAGATGTTGTTAAAGGCCTGGGCTACGATTTGATGGGCTGCATTCTATTGGGCCTGAAACGTATCAAAGTAAATGGGTTCACAATTGGGCCCTTTTTGATTTGGAAAGTACGTTAAGTGAAGAATGAAGATCGATGGTTGTTAATTTATTATGAAGTTACATTTAGGTAATTGGATTTACAAATCAACCGTTTCTAATAGAATAGGTAAGAAAGCTATCTTGCCACCGACTGTTATGATTGGGTATGTCCGATTTTCTCTTGTACTTTTCTATGGTTTGGAATAAATAATAATTATGGGTTGCGTTTCTTTTATCAAAATAAAAACATTATATATGTTTTTGTAGATTAATTTCATGTGAAGTCTATTATTATACTTTTTTCAATCTTATTATATAAATCTAGCTAGATTTTTTTTTATGATAAATCAGTTGTTTTATTTTATTAAAAAATAGTTTTTATTTGGATAATACATATGATATTGATAATAAGAAATAATATAAATTAACAACCACCTTTTTGACCTATGCATATGTAAAGAATAGAAAAGTTCATTTTTTCTACATCCTCTTAGATCATGTTTGACACAATTTATATATATCTATAAAGTAGAAACATATTGACGGGACATCTGTTCTCCTTTTTTACTCAATTTTTCCTAAATTTATATTATATTATCCTCAACTATATATATATATATATATATATATATATATATATATATATATATATTGGATAATATTGATTATTGATTAGAGTGAAATACGGATTTGGTCCCTGTTTTTTGGGTTGTTATAGAATTAGTCAAACTTCAGTTGTTACATATTAAGACTTAGGTTTGTATTTAATTTTATTTGTTCGATTTAGTCCCTCGCCCCTAAGGTTTGTTATCTTTTCCAGTTAAATTCATTCAAGGAAGGCTCAAAATCATCATTTTACCCTTTATCTATTTAACCTTTTTCAAAAAGCAATTATCTGTAATTTTCTTTTTTTAACTCCCCCCCCCCCCCCGCGGTAATAACGAACCATGCGTGATGTGAATCAACACGCCCCCTTTAACTGAGGCTAAATGGACACAAATTGTCCTAAGGCGTCGAGAGGGGGTTAGCCGGGATGTCAAGTCCCTGAAACGACAAATTTTCACTCTGATACCATGTGAGAATATACGGAACTCCAAATAACTTTATAAAAATAGTCTTTCAATAGAAAGAGAAAGTTCTAACACATATATATATTGAAGAGATGGTCTAAGTCTAGTTAATATGAGACTCCAACAAAATAAATGGACATTAAGATAAGGAACCAAATTCAACAAATGATAAGTCTTATTTTGTAGTAAATAAAATTCAGGGACCAATTTATTAAGAAGCCCCAAACCATAGGGACAAAAATCCATAATTCACTTTAATAATGATCAAATATTAAAAAAGAACTTGGTGTACGGCAGTGTCTGGCCTACTACAACACCACACAGCCTGGTCTGGTGTCTCTCCCAGGTCCCTTCGTTCACACTTATCTCCATCCGCATCGTATGATCAAGTTTGCGTCCAACTGTTTAATATATTGAAACTAATAAATAATTGACATCACATATAATAAAACATCAAAGTTGTAGCGGAGTCTTCTACATTTGTTCAACCGATAAATTCTTTTTGGATTATAAAAGATGCATGCATATGTTAAACTTTGAATGTGAACAGAGATATCGAAATATACAAGGTATATCAACCAAAAAACATAAAATGAAAATCTCTCGGAATCAACCACAAAACCGATTAATTCTTTTGAAATCAACCAAAAAACTTAAAAATCCTTTAAAACAATGAAATTAAGCTAAAATGCATCGAACAACTTTCTAAGTCTTTGATCCACTTTAAGATTACATCTGCTCCAAAAAAATTATGTATTTGTCGCTGAAAATATTAAATTATTTTAGCAACCGAACCTTTTTCTCCCAAGTTTTATGATACTTGGTTAATTCTTCTATGATGATGTCTCTTGATTTTTGAATTAAAATAAAAGAATGTATGGGCATCAAGAGTTTCAAAAAGATCCACAACTTACCTGTTAAAATATGGGTTCAGGTAGTTTTTGAATCATTAAAAGGTAAATCTTGTTTGGTAAAAAAAAATCTGTTTCTTAATGGTTTTAAAAACATCTGAATGATTTTGTATCCTAGACATGTTTTAACCATTCAGCGCCCTAATTTCATTGTAAACAATTACAAAATAATTATATTTCATTTTGCACTATATCATGAGAGCCTCTTAATCATTCAGCACCAAATCATTCAGCAACTGCCAAACAGCCCGTAAAAGAAATCACTCAACGATTTTACAGTAAATATCTTTTAATTTTATATTCAAAATTAAATTGAATTATGATTATCGTCTCTATCGGGGGATCTATAACCGATTTTCATCAATAGAATATTTTTTTTTGGTATAAGGGCAAGCCCGCACGCCTTATTTGAGATTACTTGGTTATCCAAATAAGGATAAGCTTCCACCGCCAGGTAAAAGATATATACTCTAAACTTTAAGTGGTGTTCCAACATATTAGAAAATCCAAGAACATCAACCTAAAAAGCGAAAATGTCTCGTGAAATCAACCAAGTTTTTTTAAAATCTCTTTAAATCAACAAAAAAAAACTTTAAAAACTTTTAAAATGGTGGAATTCTGCTAAAAAGACATCACCCAACTTCAGAGGCCTTTGACCCATCTAATTCACACATAAGGGCAATATAGTTAGTTACCTTTGAAATATATGTGATGCGACACAGGGGCAAATCCAGAGAGTTTTTTCGAAGTGGTTGCACCAATTAACTATCATAACATAAAATAAAAATTAATCAAAAAATATTGTTTTAAAACAATAAATTAGTTAACAAAAATTATCTTCAAATATTAATAAACTACTTCCACTTTCAAGAACTTTATGTATCTTTCTATATAAAACTTTACACATATCCTTAAAGCTTCAGTAACTATATATGGTTGCACGCAACCAACTATTACCAAACGTAAAAAATTTAAGCAATATGTGGAACCAAATTTGTAGTTGCACATTATATAATACCATTTCATGCGGATCCGCCCCTGACATGACATATGACGTATAGATAATTATATGAATAAATGTTATTCTCAACAACAACCCATATATATATAGGGGCCATTATTAACCACCACCACTAATCCAAACCCACCGGATACGCAAACAAATCTAGTCGTTATCATCATCATTGTGTAAAATGAGTGTCTTAAAAATCCTGTTCTACAAAGATCTTCAAAGTATAAAATCTAAATAGTTGAAACCCTGCTTCTACTTTTGACTGGTTGATGCAAAAGGTTTTAACCATCATCATTTATCATTTTGGCTAAAAATCAAAGACAAATCAAACATTGATACACCGTCTAAAATAACAATATTATAAGAATAAAATGACTAAAATTAATAGTTTAAAATACATTATTTTCCACACAAGTTATAGGACCCTTGTTCATGCACCCATTTTTATTCGTTTTAACTTTTAAAATCATAAACTAACGGTAAAATCTTACACGTATAGGTGATATGTTTTGAAAAATTAAATCTTTAAATCATTATGTAATTTAATAAAGATATTTTAATAATATCAAATAATCATAAATATAATTTAATAATATTTTAATAATATCACAACCGATCTTATAAAATACTATATTATAAAGTATTTGACAAAAACTCTTAAAACCTATTTTTTATGCATGAAGTACTGTATATTGATTCATATTACTTAAAGTTCAAGATTACAAATAAATTATGCATAAGTACAACTTATTAAAGTTTCATGTTTGAATTCGTGAACTAACTGCGTATAAACATAATCAAATAGTGGATAAACATCTCATTTTAAAAATATAAAATATAATTATGATAATTATCGAGTTCTAACAAAATAATTAATTAATATCTTTATAAGAAAATTATATTATTAAACCAAATATAAATTATTTCGTTATTGAACCTAAATTAAATTATAATAAAAAATTGAATTAAAAAATTACACAAAAATAAGAATTTTAAATAGTTACTTTGATACTATTATCGATATATTTTTTGTCAAATTTTTATGATATCTTCAAGTTTATATTTAATTTAAAAATAAAAACATCATCGCTTTTTCAAAATCACATAAGATCATACTATAACATCGACTGAGATAAAAAATAAAATAAAATATTAAAATCAAGATTAATTTTGTTGTATTACGCAAATACCTTCTAAGCATTTTATATATATTTTGTAGAAGTTATTATCAAACGGAAATGAAACATTTCAAAAATAATAGTTTGGGATAAATATACATTTTTACAAACAATTTAAAATTATATATATATATATATATATATATATATATATATATATATATATATATATTCAATCACTTGTGTTATCCAATGCCTCCTCTGGCACCATAATCAATGAATATGTTGACAATGGGACAATTTCTTGGAAGGTTCATAGGGACAATTCTCCAGAATCTAGCTGTCGCCATACCCGTACGTACGTGAGACTCCGTAGTACGTACTTCGTACCCTCTTCCCTAAAGATCTTAGATCTAACCCAAACTCTTATATAACATCTTTAACACATATACTAACTTCTATCTACCAAAGCTTGCATACCTTCTACAACACTCCCAAACCCTCAATCTAATGTCATCCTCCTCTTCAAATTTCGAATCTTTAAGAGACTTGCATGATTCCGTGAACAATCTGCTTCGTTCGCCCGACTTCAAACGAGTTCTCTCCCACCACAAACAGGACCAAAAATGGGTTCAAATGGCATCTGATTCATCTTTAAAGATGTTGGATTCTTGTGGGACCACCAAGGACATATTGTGTCATGTCAAAGGTCACATTCAAGACCTCCAATCAAGGTTTCGCAGAGTCAGTCTTGGTGAAACCGAGATGAAACTTTCTGAATACCGTTTTCAAAGAAAGGATATGAGGAAACAGATATTAAAGAGGTTGAACTCGCTGAAAAATATGAAAAACACGATCACTCCTGGTGGTGGTCATGATACCCAAATCGACGATAACCTCATGGTTGTAGCTAATGTGTTAAAAGAAGTGAGGGAAACCGTTGTTATATTACTGGAGTCAGTTATGTCGCTCATGTCGATGCCAAACCCTAACCCTAGAACTACAAAACCCACGATGATCAATTGTAATGGTGTTTTGGCAGCCAAAGTGAAGTTTACGAGGGCGAATAGCTTGAGCCCGTGGGAGGATTGCGACGCGCAAGCCCTCCAAAGTGCGATAGAGAGGTTGGAGGCTGTAGAAAGTGCCATGGAAGATCTTGAGGTCGAATTAGGGTGCATATTCCAGAGGTTGATGAGAACTAGGGTTTTGTTGCTCAACATTCTCACCAACTAAGGAGTTTAATTTATATGCTCAAATTAAAGTATGCATTTTTACTTGCTTTGATTAATTTATTATTTCATTAGGGTGATTTAGATTACTTCCAAGTTCTCTAATTACTTGGATTAATTTTAGCTCCAATATGAAGATAAGCTATTAATATACTGTAACTGTATAAGATTCATGATACTAATGAAGTTTGAGATATTATAGTCCTATTTGTTGTTTCTGGTTCAAAAAATTCATAGTTTTATAATGTAAAATCAAAACAGATCAAATTAAGTTACACCTGTGGTTTTACTTTAAGATAAACATAAGATTGCCTTCGGCCTACGAACTATCATCGAGATCATCATACTTGAACCTTCAATCTTTTGCAACAGCCTTGCTAATTGTGGGCAACCCCGTTTATGTTTCTCCGAACACACTAGCTCCTAAAGGATGGATGAGTCTGCAACAACTGGCGACATTGTTCATGATAGTTCCAAGCTCAATATTATCATACCATCCGTCCTCTTTTTTGTGTGCACTATTACAAAATTGGATTTATAGGACACCACCAATAAATAAGGGTCCTAATAGACCACTTTATAAAACATAATTTATAAGACTAAAAGATAAAACACCCTATCTAAAGGCTTTATAATAAGTTTATAGAACGCTTTTAGATGTCTTAACAAGTTTTTTTAGGACATTTTTAATATAAAACATCAAATTTAACTATTTTATAAGACACTTTTGAGAAAATGTTCTACAAACCCAACTTTTTATAGGACACTTTTTTCATATAATGTCCTATAATATAGCTAATATGACGTTTTTTTTTATAAAATTGTTCTAAAAACTTGTTACGATGCCCAAAAACCTTCTAATAAACTTATCACAACGCATTTAGATATGATGTTTTATTTTTTAGTTTTATAAATTATGTCTTATAAAGTGGTCTATTATAACGCTTATTTACTAGTGACGGTCCTATAAACCCAATTTTGTTACAGTGGTTGTTCTGATGACCACTTGAGAGTCGGATGATGATACCCATATATTCCAATCTAAGATATGGATTCAAATAAAGCATAGAGCTCCACATTCTTTGACTTCGAGTCATCCATGATCCATTGGTCAGAACCATATTATAAGCTATTAAGGCAGAATTTCCATTTCACAAATAATTAACGAAACTGATTCAGTATATCCATTCAGACAGGAAAGTAATAAAATTAATCTCTGGGAATATGAAAATGAAAAAGGCAACATAGCATAGTTGCATGACTCTGCATGTTGACTGTTGTTGTGGGTTGTCTTTTAGTTACTTTTTTATTTGTAACAATATGAAGCCCCACTTCCCTTCTCTGCAGCCCATTCATTAAATTGATCAGCCCATTAAGCAGCAGAAACAGGCCCATCCCATAACACTCGGCCCATAATCGAAATCCTAATAAACCCTGATAGAGATGGCCAAAAATCGGTCCCGGGCCGGGCCTTAATCGGTTACGGCCGGTCCTAATCGGGACAAAAACCGTCTATAACCGGTCCCTCTATAAAGAACACTATAACCGGTCAAGCTTGCCCATAACCGGTTACGCCGTCCGGTCCCGGTTCCGGTCCCATAACCGGTTACGGCCGGTCCTTTGCAAAAAAAAAAAAAAAATTTCAAATTTTTGGTAATTAATAAATTTATATATATATATATATATATATATAACAAAACATATTTTT